AAGCTGTGCAATTCTGAGTTAGTTTCTTAATCCTGAGTTCTAATTTGATTGTGCTGTGGTCTGAGAGACTATTATGATTTCTGTTCTTTTGCATTTGCTGAGGAGTGATTTACTTCCAATTATGCGGTGATTTACTTCCAATTATGCGGTCAATTTTAGAGTAGGTGTGATGTGGTAGTGAGAAGAATGTATACTCTGTGGATTTGGGGTGGAGAGTTCTGTAGATGGCTATTAGGTTTGCTTAGTTCAGGTCTGAGTTCAAGTCCTAGAGGTCTCTGTGAATTTTCTGTCCCATTGATCTGTCTAATATTGGCAGTTGGGTGTTAAAGTCTATCACTATTGTAGGTCATTAAGAACTTGCTTTATGTATCTGGATGCTCCTGTATTGGGTGCATATATATTTAGGATAGTTAGCTCTTCTTGTTGCATTGATCCTTTTACCATTATGTAATGTCCTTCTTTGTCTCTTTTGATCTTTGTTGGTTTAAAGTCTATTTTATCAGAGACTAGGATTGCAACTACTGATTTTTTTTTTTCCTCTCCATTTGCTTGGTAAATCTTCCTCCATCCCTTTATTTTGAGCCTATGTGTGTCCTTGCACATGAGATGGGTTTCCTGAATACAGCACACTGATGGGTTTTGACTTTTTATCTAATTTGCCAGTCTGTGTCTTTTGATTGGGGCATTTAGCCCATTTACATTTAAGGTTAATACTGTTATGTGTGAATTTGATCCTGCAATTTTGATGCTAGCTGGTTGTTTTGCATGTTAGTTGATGCAGTTTCTTCATTGTGTCGATGGTCTTTACCATTTGGTACACTTTTGGATTGGCTGGTACTGGTGTTCCTTTCTATGTTTAGTGCTTCTTTCATGAGCTCTTGTATGGCAGGCCTGGAGGTGATGAAATCTCTCAGCAATTGCTTATTCGTAAAGGATTTTATTTCTCCTTCACTTATGAAGCTTAGTTTGGCTGGATATGAAATTCTAAGTTGATAATTCTTTTCTTTAAGGATTTGGAATATTGGCCCACACTCCCTTCTGGCTTGTAGGGTTTCTGCCGAGAGATCTGCTGTGAGTCTGGTGGGTTTCCCTTTTTGGATAACCCAACCTTTCTCTCTGGCTGCCCGTAGCATTTTTTTCCTTCATTTCAACTCCAGTGAATCTGACTATTATGTGCCTTGGGGTTGCTCTGCTTGAGGGATATCTTTGTGGTATTCTCTGTATTTCCTGGACTTGAATATTGGCCTGCCTTGCTAGGTTGGGAACGTTTTTCTGGATAATACCCTGAAGAGTGTTTTCCATTTTGAATTCATTCTCTCCATCACATTCAGGTACACCTATCAAATGTAGGTTAGGTCTTTTCACATAATCCCATATTTCTTGTAGGCTTTGTTCATTTCTTTTCATTCTTTTTTCTCTAGTCTTGCCTTCTCATTTATTTTATTGATTTGAGCATCAATCTCTGATATCCTTTCTTCTGCTTGGTTGATTCAGCTATTGAAACTTGTGTATGCTTCGCAAAGTTCTCTTGTGTTTTTCAGCTCCATCAGGTCATTTATATTCTTCTCTAAGCTGTTTATTCTTGTTAACATTTAGTCTAACCTTTTTTCAGCATTCTTAGTTTCTTTGCATTGGGTTAGAACATGTTCTTTTAGCTCAGAGAAGTTTGTTATTACCCACTTTCTGAAGCCTGTTTCTATCAATTCATCAGACTCATTCTCCATCCATCTTTGTTTCCTTCCTATTGTGGAGTTGTGATCCCTTGGAGGAGGAGAGGCATTCTAGTTTTTTATGTTTTCATCTTTTTTGTGCTGGTTTCTTCCCATATTACCTGTGGTCTTTGTAGTTGGTGACTTTCGGATGGGATCTCTGAGTAGACATACTTTTTGTTGATGTTGAAGTTATTCTGTTTTTTAGTTTTCCTTCTAACCATCAGGCCTCTCTGCTGTAGGCCTGCTGTAGGTCCACTCCAGACCCTGCTTTCCTGGAGATCACCCACAGGGGCTGCAGAACAGTAAGAGTTGCTGCCAGTTTCTTCTTCTGTTATCTTTGTCCCAGAAGGGTATCCGCCAGATGTCAGCCTGAGATCTCCTTTACGATGTGTCTCTTTGGATATACAGGGGTCAGAGAGCTGCTTAAGGAGACAGTCTGTCTCAGCTCTAGTGCTGAGCTGGGAGCTCCATTGTTCCATTCAGAGCTTCTAGGCAGATACGTTTAAGTCTACTGCTGCGGAACTCATAAACACCTTTTGCCCCAAGTGCTCTGTCCCAGGAAGGTGGGGCTTTATTTATTAGTTCCTGAAGTGCTGCTACCTTTTTTCAGATGCCCTGCCCAGCAAGGTGGTAGTCTAGCCACAGTCTGCCAGCAGAAGCGTTACTGAGCTGCTGAGGGCTCTGCCCAGCTGCTGTGTGAACTCCCTGTTAGAACTGTCTCAGTAATGGTGGTCTGCCTCGGTAATGGTGGACTGCCTCGGTAATGGTGAAATGCCTCCATAGTGGCGGACTGCCTTGGTAATGGCTGACGCTCACCCCCACCCTGCCCCCAACACCTAGCTAGACTGTCCCAGGTCCAGCTGCACTTGCCGCGAAACTCTCAATCCAGAGCATTTCAGATTGCTGGACTTTGCAGGTGGTGGGACCCACCGAGCCAAATCACCTGGCTCCCTGTTTCAGCCCCCTTTTCTTCAGTTGAATGGGCAGCTGTGTATCCCAGATATTCCAGGCGCCTGTTGAAACAGCCACCTAGATTTGTGTGAATGTTTGTGCGGAGACCTGCAGCACCAACTGAAATAGCCATGCTGGAAACTCATGGCACTTTTCAGCTCAGGAATCTCCTGGTCTGAAACTCGTTTGGAAATGCAGTGATCGCTCACCCTCTGTGTTCTTCTTGCTGGGAACTGCACTCCAGAGCTGTTCCTATTCAGCTATCTTGAAATATCTGCCATCAGTTTATTACCTGGTCTTTTTCCAGTTCTCTCAGACTGTTCCAGAAGTTCCCTTAATATGATTCCGAGTCTCCCAGCCACATTTCCTGATGGGAAAATAGTACTCATCCCACCCCCTAATCCCACTTCCCACCTCGGGATAATCAGACTTGAGAACATGTGCTTATGTATTTTGTTATTTTGGAGAAAACAAATGTAAATAAGCTGGATGCCCACCTCTAGGAACAAGTTGTGTGTAAATTACAACACATCCTTATGACAGAATATCAGTCAACCATTACAAAGCCTGTTTTTTAAAAGGTCCTTAATGATCCAGAATCATTTTTATGATGAGTTTTTTAAATAAAAAGGATTTGTTCTCATTTGTATAAAAATATTATATTTTAAAGTAGAACTGGAAACTGCTGGTAGAAATTACCTTGGAATCATAGGATGGAGAACGTGGTTCTTTTTCTCTTTTTAAAATTTGGTGTTCTTTTGACACTGAATGTGTATTACTTTCATAGAAAGTACATTTTAAAGAAAAAATAATCTTGCCCATCCTCAAGACTCCCCAAATCTCCATGTTAAAATGAATGTTTCCTCTATAATGTCATTATTTTACCTTACCATATATTGTCACGTCTTTGTATTTGGCATTTGCACACTATTTTTATTCTAAGCAGTTATGAATGTGTGCCTAACAGTAGCAGTGTTATCCAGGCTTAGTTTTCCAGAAAATAACATCACTAATCTCACATTAGCATGACAATACCTAACCACAGGCAGGGCAGGCCCATTCTTGTAGCCCTCTGTTTCTTTGAAAGGCAGGTGCCCTGAGTTTTCATCCTATTCCCAGTGTCAGGCACATGGTGGCTGTTTAATGTGTATTCACTGGACCAAAGAGAATTATTCTTCCCATTATAAACTTGTTTTCTAATTCATCCTAAGAACATTGGGATGGAGACGCCAGTGCTTTGGGCAGTGAGATTTCAGGAGTACTGAGAAGGCTTTTGCCTCTCTCCTGAGCTGATTACATTATCCCATCCCATAGTATGAGTTTCCTGAGCCAATGTTCCTGCTCCAAGTGAGAGGGGAAGGTCCATTGGAGTGACAGTGCACTCTCCATCACATTACAACACATCCCTGAGGGCTGCACAGGGAGTCACAAGGGAAGTGGAAACCAAGCACCCAGAGGAGGATCTGGGACTAGGAAGGAGGTGGCAGTCTCCAAGTCCTGTGTGTCCCCTCTCCTCATCTTGCTCATGGCTCTAAAGGCCAGGCACTGGTACAGGTTCAGCACACCACCAGGGCATGAAGCCCTCTCTAAGAACAGTATCTAAGACACCGAGAGTCAGGCTTTGTCAGTGGGGATAACCCTACTAGTGGGGTGGGAGTGGAGGTTGCAGGTGAGTGCTATCTGTGATCTCAGCCTTCATGGCATTCTCCCTGTATGTATGTCTGTTTCCAAATTTCCACATTTCTAAAGGACATCAGCCATACTGAAGTAGGGGCCCAACCTAGTCCAATATGACCTCATCTTAGCTAATTTTGCAGTACTGGAGGTTAGGACTTCCGACATCTGAATCTTGGGGGGACACAAGTCAACCTGTAACAAGGGGGTGGCCAGTTCACAGGAGAAAGGAATCGTCCTCTCTCCCTTAACGCATGCTCCACCTGAGGATTTGTGTCCAGACATTTTAGCTGTCCTTTTAAGCCATCATTCATTTAAGGAATTTAGAGTTTTGGAAACCGAGGGAAGGATCTTCCTTATATTTGCTTTCTGCCCGACTCCATCCCTCATTTGATGCAACAGGTTAGTTATGTGAATCCAGGCAAAAAGGAAAAAAAAAAAAGAAACCACCAAAATCAGTAAATCAGTAAAATATTTCAAAGAGGCAATTCTTTCAATAAACTACACATTTCTTTTCCTAGAGTACTGAAGTGTAAGTCTAAGGCTAGAGGACTAGTGGCTAAGAATTGGGGGGTTCAGGATCTCAGTTGTGTCCTCTTTGGAAACAAAATTTGGCAATCAGCAGTTGTTCCCTTAGCAAGTCAGAAGATAGAAGGAGCTTAAAAAAACACACACACACATTTATTTTAAAATTTGACATAATCCTTGGGTAATTCAGAATTAGCTTAGGCATGTTTCAGAAGTTTCTGAGACTGATGTCTCAACTCTAAACCAATAGCAATAGCTTATTTCATTGGTGGAAGGATTAGAGAGGGCCCCATGATGCAGATGAATAAATGGCTATCAAAGAAGACAGAATCCCATAGACAGAGGCAGCATTCAGTCATGGTTTTTAAATTAACTGTCAAAAATATGAAACATCTCACCAGACCATCAATAACATCCATCTCATAATTTGCATTTTACCAAAGCATCCACATATAGACAGCATAGAACTAAAAGTTCTGTAGACTTCAGAATTATATTTAAATTAATTCGATCCTTCATATTAATAATTAAAAACCAGATTCTACCCAGTGTCGTCTCAGTCTCCACACCAACATGGATGTCCAGCTGTCAGAATGGTACCTCCTCGGCACTCAGTGGTCATGATTCGAAGATTAAAATCAGCGTGTCAAATCAGAACATAAACCAAGCCAGGAGTTCATGGGCCCAGAAAGGGGTAAAGGACTTGTCCTACACAGCAGTGAAGCAGCCCACATGCTCTGCCCATTGCCAAGCAGAATCAGACTGGAGCTGTGGGCAGCGAGGAGGAGGGGCATGTTCTGTGCTGTCCACTGCTTTGCATGGTTTCTTGGGTGTTCCAAGGAGGGTTGTTGTTATCTCCCAATATGACAGTTAATTCCCTGAGGACAGGACCTCTTCCCCACTAGCCTCAGTCACAGCAGGGTGCATGCCGCTCAGGTGTGAACACAGAGCAGGTCCCTACTGAAGGCAGGAAGGAAACCTGCATGTACTGAGCACCTACTATGTACCAGGTGCAGAGCCAGGACAGGTGCTTTCCTGTCACCCTCACCACAGCACTGTGAGATAGGATCATCATCCCCACTTCACAGATGTGGAAACAGAGGCTCAAGAAAGAGCATTTGCCCAGAGTGGCATAGCTAGTCAGTAGGGGAGCATCAATTCGAAAATCAAGGCCTTTCTAACTACACAAGCTGAGGGTTTGGTAGTGAGTGAGGATCCCAGCTCCAAGATGGTTGGTGTGGAGCCCAAACATTAGATCCCCTTGAGCACATGGTGCCAGCCTTGAGAGTCCAGAGGCCTGGCTCTAGGAATCCTAGCTCTACAGTATGACTTGGTGATCTTGTGCAAGTCTTTTAACTGCTCCACACCAGGGACTGCATGGGTCCAGTATGATTTCCTGTCAGGGAGAGGGGACTTAGGAAAACCATCTGGAGAGCATGTTTGCCCTGATGATGCTTTCTTGCAAAGAAGAAGTGCAGGGCATTGCAATCTGATATCACACTTCTCACACCTGATGAGAATCAGTTACAATCTCCAAGGTTCTGACCTCTGAGGATGACATAAGTCTGGGGAGCCACACCACTACTCCCTGAGAGACATGCAAAGGCCCATGAGCTCAAATAAATCGAGGTCACAATGCTTTTAAAGCAAAAAAATAAATGCTTAAAAGAAATTTCTGAGGGGAAGATGACTTGAAAAGGAAAAAAAAACAACAACAAAACAGATGGTGGTTAGGAGGAGATTTGGCGGTAGGTATTAAAAAAAAGAGTGGGAGTATGGTGTGCAAACCCAGCTGGTAGGATAGGGTCAGGCCCAGCCAAGCCTGGAGAAATCAGGTTTTGGGGATCTGGATTACCTGGTATCTGTCATGAGGCTGCACTTGCTACCTCAGACATGGGTAGGAGGTTTCCTCAAAAAAATATCTTGAGTCTCTAAGTTTAGGTAGATCTTAGAGAATAAATATTGGAAGAAAAAAACACAAGTCAAATGACTCAGATGTAATCTGCTTGCCAAGCTTCTTCTCTCCCTCTAAGACTCATTTGAATGCCCCCGGTATTACAAAGTCTTCTGTGATCCACAAACACAGTTTAAGTGTGTGGCCCTCCTGGGTGCTCAGAGAGCAAGCCCCTCTCTCTACAAGTCCCCAGTGCACTGAGCACACTGAATTCTACCTGCCTGTTCAGATGTCTGTCTCTCTCACTGAACAGGAGCAACTTGAGGACTGAGACTGTATCCTTCCATATCTTCCATCTCCACATGGAGAGAAAAAGACTAATCAAGACGCTTTGCTCATAAGCACCCAGTCTAAGGACCAGCCCAGCCAGCCAGAGTGATAGGAACATGTTCCAGGGACATGGACCTTGGGAGCAACTTTGTTCTGAAGGAGTTGAGCATGTTTCCAATCCCCTGTACCACCTACCTGCTCCCCCCCACCCCAGAGCCACCCTGCATTGGGCACAATTGTAATTTGGGAGAATTTCTTTAAAACGTGAAATCAATATTTAGATGCAGATTTCAAGCAATATAGAGCATTGGTCTGTAAGAATGGCATCATTCTGTTAGGAAAAACGAAACCCAGCTTTGGCATCCCTGATGGGAAAGGTAGATTTTGCATCTACCACGGTGGAAGGTGGGGAGGATGCTGTCTGGAAAGAATGCTAGGTATATGTGCATGTGTGTGGGAGGAGGCTCTGGGCTCATAAACTGTCTGGCCACAGGGAAGGCTGGATCTGATTTCTTGAATCACAGGCTCCTGAAGCCCCAGTGCTCTTGCTGACAGAGGCCCCTAGAGTAAAAGGAGCAGGCTGGAATTGTTCAGGAAAATGGTCTTCCCAGGCTGGGGTGGCCAAAGACCATCCATTCAGTGCCTGATAGAGAAGAGTGAGGAGCCTATGCTTAGCAATGAATGGTCCGGAAGCCAGGCAGTGTGGCCTTTCCAAACAGGTAGATGTCCTCATCTGTGCCCTTGTTGAGATGCTTCACCAAATTCTTCTCGTAGAGCAGTGGGTGGTAGGCGCCCATCGTGCACGCACTGTCGAAGAACTTCTGGTGGTAGTAGCACACGTCTGTCCTGCGCTTGGATGGAAGGAACTCATAAATATCCACCTGGTCACACAGTGTCATCATGATGATGATACCTGGAGAGGGAAGCAGAGGTGAGTCATGCCCGACAACCCCAGCACCCCAAAGCTCTGCCCAGAATCCAGAAGCTCATTACCCCCAATATGGAGAGGTTCCCCTCTGGAATTTTTATTTATGGCTGTGATTCCCAATCCAAGTTTCAACAAGCCAAGTCCAGCAGTGTTCCTTAGGATGCAGGGCCGTATAAGCGTTAGGTACCTTTGAATCCCCAGCACCTAGGCCAGGGCCTGGTGAATAACAGAGCCTCCCCAGATGCTAGTAGATTAAATTACTCCATCAATCAGTCAATGAATGTATCCGTGGAATAATTTATTTGAAGAAAGAGGACAAGGTTACTGAGCTGATTGAGGAGACAGTGCCATCATGTATAATTAGCACTTTCTAGCACTGTGACATCCTGGAGAGCCTCTTGGAGGGTGCAGTTTGGGAGCAGACTATTTCTTATAGCACTTGCATGAAACAGTGTTGGGGAGGGAAGACTTTTCTTCCCTTAGCTGGGAGAAAGGACAACTGGAACAAGAGCACTCCACAGTCTGTACTGATGGATTCTACTCATTCAGGCAGAGCAATCAGAGCCTAGGAGGTTGGTGCTCTTCAGGGAGGCTGTGCAGAACTCTGGGATTCAGGCTCTAGCAGGAGGCAGAAGACTCATGCTGTCACCATGTTTGTCCCCAACTGGCTGAGTCATCTTGGGCAGGACACATCCCCTCTTTGGGCCTCAGACTCTTAATCTGTTCCAAGGGAATGATCCACCCAATGCTCCTACTGCACAGGTCACTGTTAAGATTAAATAAGATCGTGGTTCTAAAACCCCCTTTGTATACCATAAATATGGAATCTTTATAATAGGGTAGTTCTCACTGAAAGCAAAACTGCTAGCAGCAACTTTGTTCCAAAAGAATTAGAGATGAAATAAACCTTGCCTCTGCCCTCTGGCTGCCCCTGGTTGAGTGGGAGAGAAAAGAAAGCTCTGCAACTAACTGATGAAGGCATAGACGTGCTCCTGGGGATTATGAGAAGGAGAACTTCCCACCGGAGAAGACAAGTAAACCTCCCAGAAGCACTGGTGTGGGATGCAGAAGGGGCAGTGGCCATGAAGATGGGCAAAGGGGAGGACTGGTGGTAAAGGTAACAGCACAGGGCAATGGGAAGCTGTGTCTCCCAAAATGCCAATGACTTCTGCTCAACAGGGCTCCAGGAAGAGCCCCAAATGCACCCAACCAAAAGTGAAAGAAAAAGGTATGAAGAAGATGTGATATGGTTGAGAACACCAATCTCTCTATGAAGGAGTGCCTCTCATGTTGAACACATATTTATTCACTTACTCAGGGAACATTTACCAAAGGGCTATCCAATGTCAGACTCAAAGAGAAGACACAGTAGTTCCCACCCTAAAGGAGTCTGCAGTCTAGTAGGGGAGGTAGGCAGACAAGTGACACAGTGGTGAGTGGGGCTGGGGCCATTGACTGAAGTAGTGGAGAAACTGTAGTTGCTTGATGCCTAGGTCCAGCCAAGGCTGACTAATGTAGACAGAGGTCCCTCCATGGAGCCCCCCGTTTTAAATCCAGCTTTGAGCCAACCTGCTATTTAAAGCACCCAGCAGAAAAATAACCTGGTGAAATTAGGACACCCCACCCTAGGTGACCCTTAAACAGGGGAAGCCCTCCCTTCATGCCTACATTGCTTTTGCTACCATGAGCCTCTGGACAGAGAACTGCTGTCTGCCACTCTCTCATCATCCTGCCTAGCTTGAGGATCTGTAAGTAATAAAAACCTCTTACACTCTCACATTCTGATTGTGTCATTGAAACTGTTCCCACAATCCAACCCCTGACAGTAAGGCTGCCCCAAAGGAACCCCCACAGGCTGCTGGAGACAGTAGCTACCAGTTAAGTTCATTGAGAAACTCAAAAGAGTTTTATTCAAAACAGCCATTCGGTGGAAAAGGGGCCCACTGCATGTTGAGGAAGGGGGCAGGGTGGTGAGCTTCTGCTTATGCAGATCCTAGAGCCCTATTAAAAATTGCTTAGTGGTCCAGCTCAACTCAAGGAGAAAGGAGGGGAAGAGCAGACAGACCATGAGGTGTGGAGAAAATCCAAGAAGAGGAACGCTGGCCAGCATTGTTCCAGTAAACTCCGCACAGCACTGTTACTGATCCTTTTTTTGTTTGTTTTTGTTTTTTTGTTTTGTTTTCATTGCATTTTAGGTTTTGGGGTACATGTGAAGAACATGCAAGATTGTTGCACAGGTACGCACATGGCAGTGTGATTTACTGCCTTCCTCCCCATCACCTGTATCTGACATTTCTCCCCATGCTCTCTCTCCCCAACTTCCCACCCCTCACTGTCCCACCCTTATTTCCCCTTGACAGACCCCAGTGTGTCATGCTTCCCTCCCTGTGTCTACGTGTTCTCATTGTTCAACACCCACCAATGAGTGAGAACATGTGGTGTTTGATTTTCTGTTCTTGTGTCAGTTTGCTAAGAATGATAGTTTCCAGGTTCCTCCATGTCCCTACAAAGGACACGAACTCATTGTTTTTTATGGCTGCATAGTATTCCATGGTTTATATATGCCACATTTTCCTTGTCCAGTCTATCATCAATGGGCATTTTGGTTGGTTCGAAGTCTTTGCTATTGTAAACAGTGCTGCAATGAACATTCATGTGCATGTGTCTTTATAGTAGAATGATTTATAATCCTTTGGATATATACCCAGTATAGGGATTGCTGGGTCAAATGGAATTTCTATTTCCAGGTACTTGAGGAATTGCCACACTGTCTTCTACAATGGTTGAACTAATTTACACTCCCACCAACAGTGTAAAAGTGTTCCTATTTCTTCACATCCTCTCCAGCATCTGTTGTCTCCAAATTTTTTAATGATCCCCATTCTAACTGGCATGAGATGGTATCTCAGTGTGGTTTTGATTTGCATTTCTCTAATTACCACTGATGCTGAGCATTTTTTCATATGTTTGTTGGCCTCATATATGTCTTCTTTTGTAAAGTGTCTGTTCATATCCTTCACCCACTTTTGAATGGGCTTGTTTTTTTCTTATAAATCTGTTTTTGGTTCTCTGTAGAGTCTAGATATTAGCCCTTTGTAAGATGGGTAGATTGCAAAAATTTTTTCCCATTCTGTTGGTTGCTGATTCACTCTAATGACTGTTTCTTTTGCTGCACAGAAGCTGTGGAGTTTGATTAGGTCCCATTTGTCTCTTTTGGCTTTTGTTGCCAATGCTTTTGGTGTTCTGGTCACGAAGTCCTTGCCTATGTCTATGTCCTGAATGGTATTGCCTACCTTTTCTTCAAGGGTTTTTATGGTGTTAGGTCTTATGTTTAAGTCTTTAATCCATCTGGAGTTAATTTTAGGGTAAGGTGTCAGGAAGGGATCCAGTTTCTGCTGTCTGCCCATGGCTAGCCAGTTTTCCCAACACCATTTATTAAACAGGGAATCCTTTCCCCATTGCTTGTTTTTGTCAGGTTTGTCAAAGATCAGATCAGATGGTTGTAGATGTGTGGTGTTGCCTCCAAGGCCTCTGTTCTGTTCCCTTGGTCTATATCTCTGTTTTGGTACCAGTACCATGCTGTTTTGATTACTGTCACCTTGTAGTATAGTTTGAAGTCTGGTAGTGTGATGCCTCCAGCTTTGTTCTTTCTGCTTAGAATTGACTTGGATATATGGGCTCTCTTTTGGTTCCATATGAAGTTTAAAGTGGTTTTTTCCAGTTCTGTGAAGAAGGTCATTGGTAGCTTGATGGGGATAGCATTGAATCTGTAAATTACTTTGGGCAGTATGGCCATTTTCACGATATTGATTCTTCGAACCATGAGCATGGAATGTTTCTCCATCTGTTTGTGTCCTCTCTTATTTCGTTGAGCAGTGGTTTGTAGTTCTTCTTGAAGAGGTCCTTTACGCTCCTTGTTAGTTGTATTCCTAGGTATTTTATTCTCTTTGTACAATTATGAATGGCAGTTTGTTCTTGATTTGGCTCTCTTTACATCTGTTATTGGTGTATAGGAATGCTTGTGATTTCTGAACATTAATTTTGTATCCTGAGACTTTGCTGAAGTTGCTTATCAGTTTCAGGAGATTTTGGGCTGAGACAATGGGGTCTTCTAAATATACAATCATGTCGTCTGCAAATAGAGACAGTTTGACTTCCTGCTTTCCTAACTGAATATTCGTTATTTCTTTTTCTTGCCTGATTGCCCTGGCTAGAACTTCCAATACTATATTGAATAGGAGTGGTGAGAGAGGGCATCCTTGTCTAATGCCAGATTTCAAAGGGAATGCTTCAAGATTTTGCCCATTCAGTATAGACTGGCTGTGGGGTTATCGTAAATAACTTTTATTATTTTGAGATATATTCCATCAACACCTAGTTTATTGATGGTCTTTAGCATAAAGGGCTGTTGAATTTTGTCAAAGGCCTTCTCTGCATCTATTGAGATAATCATGTGGTTTTTGTCTTTGGTTCTGTTTATGTGGTGAATTACGTTTATAGACTTGCATATGTTCAACCAGCCTTGCATCCCCAGGATGAAGCCTACTTGATCATGGTGGATAAGCTTTTTGATGTGCTGTTGCAATCAGTTTGCCAGTATTTTATTGAAGATTTTTGCATCTATGTTCATCATGGATATTGGCCTAAAGTTTTCTTTTCTTGCTGAGTCTCTGCCAGGTTTTGGTATCAGGATGATGTTGGTCTCATAAAATGATTTTGGAAGGATTCCCTCTTTTTGGATTGTTTGGAATAGTTTCAGAAGGAATGATACCAGCTCCTCTTTATATGCCTGGTAGAATTCGGCTGTGAACCCATCTGGACCTGGGCTTTTTTTGGGTGGTACCCTATTAATTGCTGCCTCAACTTCAGCACTTGTTATTGGTCTATTCAGGGTTTCGACTTCTTCGTGGTTTAGGCTTCGGAGGGTGCAAGCGTCCAGGAATTTATCCATTTCTTCCAGGTTTACTAGTTTATGTGCATCTAGTTGTTTGTAATAATCTCTGATGATGGTTTGGATGATTTATGTGCATGGAGTTGTTTGTAATAATCTCTGATGATTTCTGTGGGATCTGTGGTGATATCCCCTTTATCATTTTTTATTGCATGTATTTGATTATTCTCTCATTTCTTTTTTGTTAATCTGGCTAGTGGTCTATTTTGTTGATCTTTTCGAAAAATCAGCTCCAGGATTTACTGATTTTTCAAAGCAATTTTTTGTATCTCTATCTCCTTCAGTCTGCTCTGATCTTAGTTATTTCTTGTCTTGTGCTAGGTTTCTAGTTTTTTTTTTTTATCTTGTTCCTCTGGCTCTTTCAGTTTTGACAATAGGGTGTGGATTTTAGATCTTTCCTTGCTTCTCATGTGGGCATTTATTGCTATATATTTTCCTCTAGACACTGCTTTAAATGTGTCCCAGAGATTGTGGTATGTTGTGTCTTCATCCTCGTTGGTTTCGAAGAACATCTTTATTTCTGCCTTCATTTCATTGTTTATCCAGTCAACATTCAAGAACCAGTTGTTCAGTTTCCATGAAGCTGTGCGATTCTGAGTTAGTTTCTGAATTCTGAGTTCTACCTTGATTGCACTGTGGTCTCAGAGACTGTTTGTTATTATTTCTTTTGCATTTGCTGAGGAGTGATTTACTTCCAATTATGTGGTCAATTTTATAGTAGATGTAATGTGGTGCATAGAAAAATGTATATTCTGTGGATTTGGGGTGGAGAGTTCTGTAAATGTCTATTAGGTTTGCTTGGTTCATGTCTGAGTTCAAGTCCTGGATATCCTTGTTAATTTTCTGTCTCATTGATCTGTCTAATATTGACAGTGGGGTATTAAAGTCTCCCACTATTATTGTGTGGGAGTCTAAGTCTCTTTGTAAGTCATTAAGAACTTACTTGATGTATCTGGGTACTCCTGTATTGGGTGCATGTATATTTAGGGCAGTTTGCTTTTTTTGTTGCATTGATCCTTTTACCATTACATAATGTCCTTCTTTGTCTCTTTTGATCTTTGTTGGTTTAAAGTCTATTTAATAATCAGAGACTAGGATTGCAACTCCTGCTTTTTTTTTTTTTCTCTCCATTTGCTTGGTAAATCTTCCTCCATCCCTTTATTTTAAGCCTTTGTGTATACTTGCATGTGAGATGGGTTTCCTGAATACAGCACACTGATGGGTTTTGGCTCTTTATACAACTTGCCAGTCTGTGTCTTTTGATTGGGGCATTTAGCCCATTTACATTTAGGGTTAATACGTTATGTGTGAATTTGATCCTGCCATTTTGATGCTAGCTGGTTGTTTTGCATGTTAGTTGATGCAGTTTCTTCATTGTGTTGATGCTCTTTACCATTTGGTATGTTTTTAGAGTGGCTGGTACTAGTTGTTCCTTTCTATGTTTAGTGCTTCTTTCAGGAGCTCTTGTAAAGCAGGCCTGGTGGTGATGAAATCTGAGTAATTGCTTGTTCATAAAGGATTTTATTTCTCCTTCACTTATGAAGTTCAGTTTGGCTGGATATGAAATTCTGGGCTAAAAGTTCTTTTCTTTAAGAATGTTGACTATTGGCCCCCACTCTCTTCTGGCTTGTAGGGTTTCTGCTGAGAGATCTGCTGTGAGTCTGATGGTCTTCCCTTTGTGGGTAACCCGACCTTTCTCTCTGGCTGCCTCTAGCATTTTCTCCTTCATTTCAATGCTGGTGAATCTGACGATTATGTGCCTTGGGGTTGCTCTGCTTGAGGAATATCTTTGTGGTGTTCTCTGTATTTCCTGGACTTGAATATTGGCCTGCCTTGCTAGGTTGGGGAAGTTTTCCTGGATAATATCCTGAAGAGTATTTTCCAGCTTGGATTCATTCTCTCCATCACATTCAGGTACACCTATCAAACGTAGATTAGGTCTTTTCACATAGTCTCATATTTTTTGGAGACTTTGTTCATTTCTTTTTACCCTTTTTTCTCTAATATTGCCTTCTCATTTTATTTCATTGAGTTCGACCTCTGATATCCTTTCTTCTGCGTGGTCAGTTCAGCTGTTGAAAGTGGTGTATGCTTCGCGAAGTGCTTGTGTTGTGCTTTTCAGCTCCATCAATTCACTTATATTCCTCTCTAAGCTGTTTATTCTCATTAGCATTTCGTCAAATCTTTTTTCAAGGTTCTTAGTTTCTTTGCATTGGGTTAGAATATGTTCTTTTAGCTCAGAGTTTCTTATTACCCAACTTCTGAAGCCTGTTTCTGTCAATTCATCACACTCATTCTCCATCCAGCCTTGTTCCCTTGCTGGTAAGTTGTGATCCCTTGGAGGAGGAGAGGCATTCTGGTTTTGGGTGTTTTCATCCTTTTTGCACTGGTTTCTTCCCATCTTTGTTGATTTATCTACCTGTCATCTTTGTAGTTGTTGACTTTCAGATGGGGTCTCTGAGTGGATGTCCAGTTTGTTATTGATGAAGTTATTTCTTTCTGTTTCTTAGTTTTCCTTCTAACAGTCAGGTCCCTCTGCCGTAGGGCTGTTGAGGTCCACTCCAGGCCCTGCTTGCCTGGGGATCACCTGCAGCAGCTGAAGAACAGTAAGGGTTGCTGCCAGTTTCTTCTTCTTCTTTGTCCCAGAAGGATGCCTGCCAGATATCAGTCTGACCTCTCCTTTATGAGGTGACTCTTTGGATATATGGGGGTCAGGGAACTGTTTGAGGACACAGTCTGTCCTTTACAGGAGCTCAAGTGCTCAGCTGTGAGCTCCGTTGTTCCACTCGGAGCTGCTGGGCAGGTATGTTTAAGTCTACTGCAGCAGAACTCATAAACGCCATTTTTCCCCCCAGGTGCTCTGTTCCCAGGAGTTAAGTCTTTATAAGTTTCTGTAGTGCTGCTGCCTTTTTTGAGGGCTGCCCTGCCCAGCAAAGAGGCAGCCTAGTCAGAGTCTGGCTCCAGAGGCTTTGCTGAGCTGCTGTGGGCTCCGCCCAGCTGCTGTGTGCACTTCCTTGCAGTCCTGTTTATAGGGGTATAGTTAGAACTGCCTCGGCAATGGCGATGTGCCTCAGTAATGGTGGATGCCCCTCCCCCACAGAGCTGGACCATCCTGGGTTCAGCTGTGCTTGCTGTGAAACTGTCAATCCAGGGCATTTCAGATTGCTGTTTTTTTGTGGGGGTGGGACCAGCTTAGCCTGATCATCTGGCTCCCTGTGTCAGAGCCCTTTTTTTTTTTTTTTTTTTTTTTTCTTTTTTTTCCCAAGTTGAACAGGCAGCTCTCCCAGGCATCCTAGTCACCAGGTGAAACAGCCCCCGGATTTGTGTGATTTCTTGTGCGTAGACCCACTGCGCCGGCTGAAACAGCTGCACTGGGGACTCGTGGTGCTTTTTTGCCCAAGAATCTCCTGGCCTGGCTCTGTTTCAGTCCCCTTTTTATCAGTTGAATGGGCAACTGTCTCCCAGAAGCTCCAATCACCAGCTAAAACAGTGCCCAGACCCATGTATTTTGTGCAGAGACCTGCTGCACCGGCCAAAACAGCCGTGCTGGTGACCCATGGGGCTCCTCCACCTGGGAATCTCCTGGTCTGTGGGCAATAAAAATCCATCTGGAAATGCGACGTCCACTCACCCTCCATGCTTTCTCTGGGAGCTGAAATCCTGAGCACTCCTAATAGCCATCTTGAATCCTGATCCTACTGATCCTATCTTGATTTAAATAGTTGATATTTCATTCATCATAATTTTCACATTAATTGTGATTTTTGAAGATACTGTATTAAAATATTATTTATCTTGATGACTGAGTTTTGGGGTACCCCCTTAAATTGTCCACCTGAGAAAAGGGTCTTGCTGCTGTCATTGAGGGGCAGTCCCACTCCTCATGTTTTCCCACCTCCCTCCCTCCCCTGTTCATGGCTTCCCTTCCCTCCATCTTCTTGTGCTAAATTCTCCCCTCTCAAAAGCCTAGCCAACATGACTTCCTCCATGAGGCTATATGTGACTGTCCAGCAAGAAGGTGTCCTCTCTCCTATGACATGACACCAGGTTGTCTCTCCCGCCTGGCACAAATTGAATATTGCCTCAGACATCTGATTGAACTCCCCCAATAGATATCTTCAGGAAAAAGAATTCTATCTTACTTACCTCTGTATTTTAAATAGAACTTGGCACAGTGGACAAGCAAAGCAAAATCCTAGCAATTGTTTGTGAACAAATGAACAAATGGATGAGTGAATGAATAAATGAATGAGACCCCAGAAAAAAAGCTCACCTCTTCTAGAAACAAATATGCAAGCTCTTTTCCCTGACATGAACTCACCGAGCATCCCAGAAGATGGGGGATTTGGTTGAATCTCTTCTGGGGAGATTTCCTGAAGAATGTCCCATAGCTCCCAAGGCATCTGGGGTTTGAGGATGTAAAAGGGCTGATTGGGGTGCAGCTTACGATAACTCTTGTAGTTATTGAAGAAATTATAATCCGGATTCTGGTACCACTGAAAAAGAAAGAAATGGTCCTCTCAAGGGAGAAATGGGCCAGTGAGCTGCTCCCCACAGGAGTCATCCCTAGCAGTGGGCTGGGGGAAGGGGAAAGGACCAACAAGGGTTTCTCCTGGGGCACAGCCCTTTTCATGCAGCAGGCTACAGGCTTCTCTTCCACTCACAGCTTTCACTGGAGAGCAGTGTAAGGCCTAGCACGTAGCCTGTGCTTTTGGGGAGTGTTGACCTTAGCGAACCAAGATCGGCTTCAGGCTTCTAAAAACAGTTATTAGTGTTTTTAGAAAAAAGGAGAACGCATAGAAAAAAGAAAAAGCAGGTGGGACATGATGTTGCCCAGGAACACTATCAGAGCCGAAAGGAGTCCCAGGTACCATCTAGCCCCATCTCTCATTTTCAAAGGGGAGAAAACCGGAGCATAGGTTGCCATATCCGTGGGTTCAGAGTCCTTGTCCTGACATAGACAAATTAGAGTTCTGAGTGAGATCAGTGTGAAACTGTAGAAACTCAGATAATGAGAGTGCCAGGGGTCACCAGAGCCTGTCAGGCACTGGTGGATCCAAGTTAAGAGTTACATGTCCCAAGATTAGCACTCTCTGCCCTTGAGGCCACAGCAGTCTCTATCAGAGAGAGGTCAACTGGCATGCATAACAGTGAGAGGACTGTTCCAGGGGGATTAGAATCCAACAAGCCTGCCACTCACGTCTCCCTCCCTGGGAAGAGCTGCTGGTGCAGATCTGCACCTTCTGCTTAGTAAATCAAGTGCTGGGATGAGGGACTTTCATTCTCCACGTTCCAATTTCCCTATCTCTAAAATGGAAACAACCACTCTTGCATCTATCCCCTTACATTGTTATGAGAGTGAAATGGGAAGAATTCTGGATATTGGAAATGGGAAACAAAAGTGTGCTCATATAATTTACAGAAGTAACACCATCTACTCTCTAATTCTGCTGATGCTCATGAGGAATAATTGCATTAATGAACAATCTACCCTAGATGTTGGGAAGTCTAGCCACTATCCTAGTAAATACTATAACTAGGAGACAATACCTGGAAATACCTGGCATGGCAAGGAGAGTAGCTGGCATAGGACAGGAATATTTCTGAATCTGCTAGTCCAGGTGAAATGGGGTATCCTAAAACTCAAATACTCAGCCGTTAGGGACAGTTAAGCACAGCCAAGACTTGAAAAACCTAGGAAATCAGGAAAATCTGTAGACAGACATGAAACTCAACCCCTATTTCCCATGGACACCCACTTACCTTCGGGATATCCGAATGGTACACAGATGGGTCCCATACAATTAGGATTCCTTCGTTGTACAAACTGTCTGTGAGGAAGCGCCGCTCTGTGGTGACCAGCTGTAAGAAGAAAGAGACAAGCTGTCATGGAACATTCATATGCAAATGTTTAACACGAAGTAATAGCTGACATAGCACAAGGTACAGCTGGAGCCCCCAGAACCCCCTTTGAGGCTTCTAAGTTCTGGTGCAGCACTTAACTTCAGTGAAAGAAAGGTAAAGATGCCAGCCTGCACTGTGTTGACCTCAAAGGACATTTATCACAAGCCACTATCCGTAGACTAGAAAGGGTTCCACCCAGGCTTTGAGATTATTTGAGATTACGGGGGCAAAGGTACAGTGAAAATTGCATGGCACCCCAGCCCCCTGGAGTCACACCTTGTGTGAGGGTCACAAGAGTGGAGTCTGAAGCCAGGGTCTCACAGAATTAAAATTATCTCTGGAATCCTTTCCATCACCTAGAACATCCAGTACCTCATGATGTGCAAAGTCCAGTACCTCACGATGGAGACCGACATAGGATCTCTCACGAAGTCCAACACAGCCAATAGTTTCTGCAGCACTGGAACAGATGGCTGTGCTTGTGGTTGAGCACCAGATGAAATATACAGTTTGTGTGGAGGGCCCAGAGTGCATGTAAAAATATGCATCTCGGCCGGGCGCGGTGGCTCAAGCCTGTAATCCCAGCACTTTGGGAGGCCGCGGTGGGTGGACCACGAGGTCGAGAGATCGAGACCATCCTGGTCAACATAGTGAAACCCCGTCTCTACTAAAAATACAAAAAAATCAGCTGGGTATGGTGGCCCGTGCCTGTAATCCCAGCTACTCAGGAGGCTGAGGCAGAAGAATTGCCTGAACCCAGGAGGCAGAGGATGTGGTGAGCCGAGATCGCACCATTGCACTCCAGCCTGGGTAACGAGAGCGAAACTCTGTCTCAAAAAAAAAAAAAAAAAAAAAAAAAAAAAAAAAAAAAAAAATATGCATCTCCCAACAGGAGACTCTTACCAGGCTGGTGATAAGCTTATGAGTGCCTGTGCTGGCTGGGGGAACCAGCCATAGCCTCTCCCACCATGCTGGCTCCGGGGTTGGCCTGCACATAAGTAATTATACCTGCCTGGCTTAAACATGAGTGTGACAGCCTTGCTTGAACAATTCTGCAAAATGTATTAAAAGCCTTTTTAAAAAAAAAAAAAAAAAAGTACATTTATACTCTTTAACTCAATAATTCCATGTTTGGGAATCTATCCTAAGAAAGAATCCAAATTTTGAGGGAAAACTATGCATGTAAATGTTAATTATTTATCAAAATAAAGAAACATATGGCAAAAGATACTGGTCTCAGGTACAAAAAGATCCAGGATCAACTCTTGGCTTTGCTATTAACTTTCCTATGATCTTGAGCAAATAATCTTACTAGGCTCTCATTTTCTTATCTGTGAAATGGGAATAACACGTTTGCCCTGCTCTCTCATACGGGAGCTGTCTTGCAGATCAAATGGAGATCATGAGCGAATGAGAAAGAAAAAGTAGCCCCAAAGGCTTAAGAATGAAAGGAACCATGTCCCTCTTAAGAAAGCTGGAACTAATATATGAGATCAGCCGTCAACATTCACCTTAAAAAGCAGGTGGGAGATGATGTTGCCCAGGTAAAAACTGAGAGGAATAAATGGCAGAAATCAAATCAAGAACGGATTGAAATGAAAGCAAGAATCATGACAATAATCCCTCTCCATCCACCTCGGTCCTCATCACCAAGGCTTAGACCTAATCAATATCACTGCAGTATCTGGGGGAAAAATGGCAAGGGAGATGGGCTGTGTGCAACCCAAAGAATAGCAATCTGCCATGAGCCTCTACAACCCCTGAGCTATCCCCACCCCCATACCTTCCTACAGATGTGAGGAAGTTCCTAGGAACCTGAAGAATATACTCTCATGTCCTCAATGCATTTTTAAGACAAGAATTAATGGTGGTGGTCCACCTTGGCTGGAGATTGTGCAGCTGAACTGGGTGCTAAGAAACCAAAGGTAAGACACAGTCCCGGCCTTCCAGGAGGTCACAAGGTAGTGGGAAAGGTGGATAATTGAACAATGATTAACACGCTGTGATGGTGCAACAATAGAGGTAGTATGAGGAAATGGCCATAAAGTGAGCGCATGCTGAGGGGCAAAAAGAACATGCCAAGTAAGGAGATTGTAAGTGTGAGAGAGGGGATGTCCATGACAAAGGGGCCAAGTGCAGACTCCTGGATGGGTGAGTGTGTGGGAGAGACTGCTCGATGTCACCCAGTATCCATTCTCTCTCTCTTCTTCGATCACCAGCACCTCTGGTTTTGACTTTTGCACATGGCAACCTAGACTCCCTGAAATAAAAATGTTCATAGTCTCTCTTATAGATAAATATGGCTGGGTGACTAATTCTGGCCAATGGTATGTAAGCAAGCGTGACTTCCGGGAACTATCCTTAGAGCCAAGGTTATGCCTTTCCTTGTTCCTTCTTCCTTCCTGCTGGCTGGAATGTGGGTGTGATGGCTGGAGCTTAAGCAGTCATTTTGGACCATAAAGTAAAAGTCAGATGCTGAGAACAGCAAACCCACAAAGTAGAAAGAACTTGGATTCTGACACTGGAACACCATACCAATTTTGGAATATCTACCTTTGGACTTTATTTACATGAGAGGGAAATACATTTTTTGTCTTGTCAAGCTAGTGTGGGGGGATGTGCATTCCTATCTTGCAAGAACATCTAGTACAGTGAGTACTAGTACCAGTACCCTGTTTGGGAATTGCAAGTAGTTCAGTATGGCTAGGAGACAGAGAAAGAGCTGGAATGGATCAAAGAAATGTAGATAGAGGCCAAGCCAGGGAGCTTAGGATTTCATCATTAGGTTATGGGGACCAGGAAAGGGTTTTAAGTAAAGAAGATTGAAAAACACTAGAGTTCTAGATTAGTGTTTTTAGAAAAAAGAAGAACGCACAGAAGCTCCTGTTGTAGCCTAAGAAATAATGGAGTAAAGAAAAGAAGTTACAGTTGCTGGTTGTAGACATGAAGACTAATTGAATGTTGAGAGTGAGGGAAAAAGGGGATCCAGGGGACTTTGGGCCTTCAGGCCATTTCCTGCCTAAGAACAGAGAAAAACAACAACTGGTATATACCTGTGGGAGTGAGGTGGATGGGAATTTGAAGGATGAGGGCCAGGCACAGTGGCTCATGTCTATAATCCCAGCATTTTGGGAGGCTGAGGCAGATAGATCACTTGAGGTCAGGAGCTGAAGACCAGCCTGGCCAACATGGAGAAACCCTATCTCTACTAAAAATACAAAAATTAGCCAGGCGTGGTGGTGGACACCTGCAATCCCAGGAACCCAGGAGGCAGAGGCTGCAGTAAGCCAAGATCATGTCACTACACTACAGCCTGGGCAACAGAGCAACACTCCAACTAAAAAAAAAAAAAAAAAAAAAAAAAAAAAAAAAAAAAGATGAGTTCAAGGATGAGACTACTAGCCTAGAGGTCCCTGGCTGACAGGTCATAAGAACTAAGAACAGAACCCATATCTTGTAACTTTAAGTACTGTCTTCCTTCCATAGGAAACATTGTTATTTTACAACAGCAATTCAGCACTACAGTCCAAAGGAAAAGCAGGCTTCCTGCTAGATAGGGCTTTGCAAGACAGACGTGATTGAGTTGGTGACAGGGAGGCCTGAGGACAGAGGGCCACCATCCACTATTTTATACATGTCTTCTAAGACTGAATTCTGTGACTGTACTCCTTATCCCCATCCTACCCTATTCCCCTGAAAACAGCTGGTATATTAAAAGAAAAATGTCTTTTCTTTAGCTATGCTTCTTTCTATACAGAGTAGTAATGCCAGGTGATATATACATAGTCATGAGGAATAGCAGTAACTGGGATTTTTAAAAATGTCTACCCTTGCTATAGCCCCTTCCCAGCAATTTTCTAGTATACAAAGCAGGAGGCCAGCAACTCCTGGCTCCCTGAGACTTTCCCAGCTGTGGCTCCACTGTCCTCAGAAATTCCAAGAGATGCATGAAGCTTTCTTCTTTATAACAAATGAAAACAACAGATGCCATGTAATGATGCTCACTATACACTAGGTACTGTCATACCTCAACTCAGTTTATCTTCACAACAGCCCTATGAAGTGTTAATATGCTTATTTTATAATTAAAGAAATAGAGATGCTAAATAACTTTTCCAAGTTACATAGTAAGTAAGAGAGTCTGAATTTGAGTCTTATGTCAGGCTCCAGAGACCACACTTCTAACCTAGGTGCTACAATGCCTCACATAATGTGGGCAGGGTAGAGTACCACAGTTCTTGGGCAAAGACGTCAAAGAGCACCGGATAGGAGAACAGAGTGTTAGGAGAATTTGCTTCATGCCTGAGTTGTAATATGTCACAGCTGGAAGATCCTCAAGGTATTAAATTCAAACCCATCATTTTCCAGATAGGTAAACTGAGGCCCAGGGAGACGAGAGAATTGTCCAAACAAGAGAGTTTGGGGCACAACTAAGACCAGAGTCCAGAGGTAGGCTCCTGAGTATTCTTTCTGCTCCAACAGGAGCATAAAAACCATCAGACATTCAAATAAGCAAGCACACCATGAAGGTCAGGTCACCCTCAGTCCTCCTATACTCAATGGAGAAACAGTCATTCCCTTGAGCTACTTGAGGTGAATGAGACAGTAATCCATGAAAATGGCAATAGGTGTAGATAAATGATAGTTTTATCAAGAAAGAGAAATAGAGAGTGGCTGGGGCTGGGATCTGGTGGAGGGAAAAGGAACTCCCCTCCCGGAACTTTAAATGTACATGGGTCTGAACTTACCCATATTAATTCCCTCTGTATGAGGTTCAAAGATTTTCTCAAAAAAAAAAAAAAAAAAAGATTGCCTTAAAACTGGACAGGGAGTTGGAAGCATGGGCTCCAGTCCTGCTCTGTGTCTAACTCGCTCCGTGGTATTAGATGGACCATTTCCCATCTCCCGGCCTCAGCTGCCTTATTTAGACATAACCATCTTGTTAGGCCCTGCTGTGG